GGGGTGTTCTCTGCCATGGGCTGCTTCCCCCACACCGAGCGCTGAGGCTGCCACTGCTCCAGCTGCTCCTGCAATCTGCATCTCCTCTGCCTCTCCTGCATCTCCTCTTCCTTTTGGGATAGCTCTCTGGCACTTCTTTCTCTCCTGGAAAATACACAGATTAAGCTTTACACTTGGGGGGAAAAAGCCACTCATTGATCTGGTTGCACTTCTTTTTTTCTCGTATTTACACCACACACTGGAGGGGGAATCATGACATGAAAGGCTAAAATAGATTTAGAGAGCAATTCTGCTGTTTGTGGGGGGACACAAGAACTTGTCAGTGGATGAAATCATCTCTCTAAGAAGAAAAACACCTCAAAGAAAAGGAGCAGAGATCAAACTTTGATAAGTGGTGATGATCTATGTGGAGATGCAAACTCCTTCAAGCAGAGATGTTTGTGAGGTGTCACTCCCCATCTCCACAACAAGACTCCCAGTCTAGACCCATTTCCTTTCCTATCTGCTATAGGATATGACAGAGATAAAGTTCCCCTGACCCCAAGACCTCCCATCTTTCTACACCTGGATGCCCACAGAAAGATTTCATCTGCTATTTCCATGGCAAACAAAAAGTTCATTTTTTTTCTGAATTCTTCCAGCCCCAGGTGCCCCATCAATAATTAGAACAGCAACAGAGAAAACTGAAATCAGTGAAAATCATTGAATTATCATTCAGAGACAGTAAATAATCCACATTCTTGCCTGGCCATGGGCTGCCATCTCAGGCTAACAGGCAATCAAAATGCATTTTATTATTCCTGATGGAAGCAATGAGCTTAATGTCAGGAATTCCAGAGGGAAAAAACCCTGCAACCAAGCACCTGCCATTTCAGGCAGGTACACAGGAGCTGAGGTGTCTAAGTGGCAGGGCAGGCAAGTGTTTAACTCTGACACAGTAACAGTCTCCAGAGCAGGCAGATCCTGATTCTTTCCAGGCCTCATATGTCAAAGTCAGAATGTTAAATTTCACTCTGAAAATAGCAGGATATAACCTTTGAAAAGGCAGCATAATGGAGCTCTCCCAAACAGTTGGGCAGGTGCACAAGGCAATCACCTGATTTCACTTTGAAATTAGACCTTCAGCAGAATACACTACATTTAACTAAGCCCAGAGAGGCAGAGGCCCAAATAACTCTGCAATTTCCTCAATTACATCACTTTTATTTCTATTTTTTAAAGCTTTCCTAGATAAGCCTGTGGCATTCCTCACGGGTGTACTTTGTAACTCCAAGATCTTGCACTTTTCTTGTTGGCAAAAAGTCAGAATTCCTTTGTTTGGAAGAAAAAAAAAATTACAAGGGGAGACTGATAAATCTTCCAGTTTGTAAAGGGTTTTTTAAACTGAGACACAGAATAAACCATTTTCCATTCCTTCTGGGAACACAACAAAAATAAGCTTAAATTGGAGAGGGAATAATTTAAATTAGACTTAATGAAAAGCTTTACAACTCTAGGGATAATTAGACAGCAAAATGTTCTACCTGGGAGTCAAGGAATCCTCACCATTGAGGATTTCAAGACCAAGTTCTATAAAGATCTGCCAGGAGATATTACATTTTACCTCACTCTTTATTGGCACAGGGAGACTGACCCTTCCAGACCTATTTTCTAGGCAGCTGTGCTTAGGAAACCTCAGTGCTGCTGTTCCTAAAGGAGATCAATACCGTGTAATCCTCTTCTTCTGTAGGATAAAAGCTATAGAAAAAGGCTCCATTTCCAATGTCAGGAGTGCCCCAGCTCATCTAATGCCAGGCCCCACTGAGGCTGCCTCTAAACCTTCCAGCAGCAGCTGCCAGGACTGTTGTTCTTGCCAGCTAACAAATCCAGACACCCTCTTGCTCCAGCTCACAGCCCAGGTAAGCAATTTTCTTTAATCCAGGGCAATTAGAGAAGCCACATCCAAACCCTCTGATTACTTTTCCTGTGGGATACCTTGGCAATTCTGCTGTAATCAGAGGACACTCTGGAGCATTTCCTGCACTTGGAATCTTCTCAGCTTCCATTTTGTTCTCTTTCTCTGTGTCAGATCTGTCACCCCCACAGCTTGAAAAGGGGAGACTTTCCTTGCTGGGTTCCAATCTCATCAGTTTCCTGGGAACCACCTCATTTGTCTCTTGCCTCACTTTACAAGATTGGGTTTGACTTTTATTAGAGGAATCTGTGTCTTCCAGCCTTTCTGGCTGCAGTTTCTCAGCTGCAAGAGATGTTTTGTGAAGAAGCTCCAAGGCCTCCTTCCGGGCTGCTCGGAGTTGTTGCAGTAACAGGCTCTTCCCTGAGCAATTCCTCCTGCAAAGGAAATAAAAACCTGATTTCATCAAGATAAAGCATTGTAGGAATAAACTCAATCTCTGAGGAACTTCACATATGATGAGAGCTCTAAACAAGGACTGGGCATCTACAGGAGCAATAACTGGGGGTGACAGCAGCAATGTCGCTGTAATATTTTCTGGAAAAATCCCTTCACCAGGATTTCTTCTCCTGGGAAGCTGAGAAGCCTCAGAGAAAAAGGAAAACAATATTATCTCATTTGCTTCTACTTATTTTGGCTGCTTTGGATTGTGGTTTGGAGATTGTTTATCCAGCATGTGAATTGTTTTAACTTAATGATCAATCACAGTCAGGCTGTGTTGGACTCTGAGGAGAGAGTCACAAAAGGAAAACAATATTATCTCATTTGCTTCTGCTTTTTTTGGCTGCTTTGGATTGTGATTTGGAGATTGTTTATCCAACATGTGAATTGTTTTAACTTAATGGCCAATCACAGTCAGGCTGTGTTGGACTCTGAGGAGAGAGTCACAAGGTTTTAATTAGTATCTTGTTAAACCTTCTGTCTGTATCCTTTCTCCATTCTTTAGTACAGTTTAGTATAGCATTCTTTAATATAATATCTTAAAATAATAAATTAGCCTTCTAAGAACATGGAGTCAGATTCATCATTTCCTTCCTGCCACAGGGGACCCCCAAAATACCACATTGCATCAGCACTCAGATGACACAAGCAGAGCCAGAACACAAAATTGATCTTCCTGGCAATTTATTTACCTGTTCTACATTCAGGCACAACACAAACACCTGCCAGAACAGGCCTGAACAAATGTATGGTTGGCATGGAATTCAGAGCCTATAGATTTTTGTCCCTTTTGGATACAGGGGTTGGGGTTCAAATACACACAGATGAAAAGTTTTTCTAATAATCATTACAGTTTTTGAATGCTTGGCTTAATTTCCTCAATGAGACTGCTGTCAGCAAGCACATTACTGTGGTAGTGGAATGTCCTGTCCTGACATAATCTACATGCACAGAATAATAATTCCTGTTTAATAATTTGTTCCAGATAAAAATGAAACTGGATAGTCCCCTCGTGAATGAGATCAGAATCCTGCCCTGCTGAGACCAAGAGCATTTCTCTTCCCTGTCCCTTCCAATTAAGAGGGTCCCTACCCATCCAATGTAGCCAATATTCTCTTTAAATATCTATCCATTCTAGCCTATCTTATTATTTCTAAAAATAAAGGTTTGTCTGACTCAGCTCCCTACAACATTTCCAAAGTTTGGTTCTGAGGCTTGTCTAACACAGTTCTGGTGTCACTCACACAGGGCTGGAGAAAAACTCACATTTTCCAGCCCCCAGGGCACCTCTGGCTGTGTTTTGAGCTGTCCCAAGCAGCTGGACAGGTGCAAATATTGCCTCAGGGATCAACAACTCTCTACCTTTGGTAGCTTTACCATGCAACAGGGAAAGAGAAGAGTGACCTCCTGGGGCCACACTGGAGCACTTCCATTACTGGGCTTTTTTTCTTTTTTTGCTGTGAAGACCAGGAATGGCAATATTTAAGTACACAAATCTGATCATTGTTGGGGCAACTATTTTAGTTTCAGAAAAAATGAACATCGTATCACTTGGAAAACAGTCCTGATAAGGAATCTTACATTCTCCTTCCTGCTTCATCCTGAATTGTCACAGTCTCTTCTTCTTCTTCAGAGGAGGAGGAGGAGGAGCTGTCACTTGCACTGTGAAACAATCAGTACACATTAATTAACCCTGTTCCAGCTGAGTGTTGGCTCTTGGTCATTTCTAAGATGCAAATTTAGAAAATGAGGAAAAAGGGAGAGATACTTCCAGGGAAGATCTCTGGAGAGTCCTTCACATATTACTCTAGCAAAAAGAAAATTCAAGTACTCAAGCAACTAGAACAAAATGTTTACCTGTTTATTATCTAGTAGCTGTTTATTAACTACAAGGTTTCCCCTTATGACAGAGGTGTGAAAGAACATTTTTAAAGTTACATTTCACAAGCATGAGATTTAGAAAGGTTTCAGTTTCTCACTTTTTATTACTTATTTCTCACTGCCAATAAAGCCAGGATTTACCTTTGTTTCTCTTCAGGGACTGTCACTGGCTTTGGTGGCTCAGCATCTCTCAGATCTATGTACACAGTTGCACGTTTTGGCACGTCCTGGAAACTCATCCTGCCCATCCTCAGAGAACTGGGTGGGGATGAGGGCAAGGCAACATCCCTACACACAGAAAACACAGCTCAGCACATCCTCTGCCTTATCCCCCAAGGAATCCTGCAGGGAGAGCCTCAGGATCAAAACTGGGCTGAGGAAGGAGCTCTGTGCTTGGCTGCCACACAGATCCCAACTCTGCTTCTGCCTGCAACCAGAATTCAAGGACTCAGCCTCCCCCAGGAGCACAGATCACAGGCAGGATGAAGAGGGATATTTAGTTCTCAAAATGTGACACCACCAAATTGTTCTGGGGAACAAAGGAAGGCACCAGAGAGATCACAACTTTTAACATCTCAGTGTAAGAACGAGTTCCCCTTTCCTCTCTGCCTCTTTTGGTAATTCCATTTTATCTTCCCAGGCATAAAAAGTGCAAATCATCCCAGTGGCTCTCCCTGCTCTGGCAATGAGGGCATTTCCCACCTTCCCTCCACTCTTTTACTCATCATTTCCTCTGTGCTGCCACCATTGATGTTGGTCCTCTGAACAGCCTGAAAATGCTTTTCCTTCACACAGAAACCTCCAAGAAGCACTGACATCTCCACTGATACCCACAGAAAACCATCCTGTGTATTTTTGCTCAATTGAGGTACCAGTAAGAGAAATTTGTACCCTAGATGACAAAAAAAAAAGCTGAGCAGCATAATTGGCTTAGCCTCATTTTCCTGCTTTCCCATTTATCCCAAGTGCCTGGTAAGGTTTAGACAAAGGTTGATGGAAAATGCCAAGGTGTTTGTCATCAAAGGGAAATGAAGGACTGAGGATTCCAACTCCACTATCAGCTTCCTGCAAAGCTACAGAGAAAAACCCCAGTGGAAGAGCAGGAGTTGCCCAGTATTCATTCTGGCAGCCAGGATGAACTGGGATATGTGACAAAAAGGACTCACTCATTGTCCTGCTGTCCCTGGAAGGAGCAGAGCTTGGCTGAGGGCCTCTCACAGGCAGGGGACACTGCCCTGGTCTGCCTGGCACACAGCTCCCCCAGCCTTTCCATCAGCTCCTCTTCACACTTCCTCCTGAAGGACTCTGTGGAAGAGCAACAAAATAATCATCAGTTGTGATCTTCTGCCATGAAATCACCCAATATTCCCCATATTCACATTGTTCCTGTTCCTACAGCCTGGCAGCAGGGGGAGGATAAAGATAATATTGTAATGGCTTGTCTGGCCCATGGCAGGCTGTGAAGCACTGGCTTCAGGCTAAGAAACCTAGATGAAATCTTGAGGGAAGATAATTAAACATGTTTTAGAAGCATTTAAGAAACCCACTGTGATTTCTGCATTCAAAATTATGCTGCAGGGAATAACTTAAATACAGGAACCTAAGTTTTATTTCTTTTTATGCACTTTCAACTAGTGACATTACCATAATCTGCTGGGAAGAAAGCAACTTCTGCACGAGTTTTATCTCCCTGCTGCTCTAGCTCCTCAAGATTCTTGTCTGCGTTCCATTTCTCAATAGCCTGAAAGAAGACAAGAGAAACATGATGGAAAGTTGACTCCCAAAAGACCACCCCTAATTTCAGTGCCAGCTTGCTTTCAGCAATTCCAGAGGAAGTGCTGTAGGGAAAGAAATGCATTTATTACATCCCTTCAGACACTGCATCCCCCCAGCTGCTTCAGCTCCTTCTGCTGAGGCTCTTTCTCTGAGAATCATGAACCCTTTTGATAAGATTTTAAAAGATCACTGGAGACAGTGGAACGGATTAAAAAGTGGCCTGATAGAAGGCCAAGCATGTGCATTCTGATCCTGAACAATGTGTGCCACCCACAGGAGAAGGACTTGTGGCTCTTCAGCTCTTTGACATCAGCCCTTTCCTCCCCCTGCATTTTCTGAGCAGGGTAAATTCCCACTGCTGTGGGTACAGTCAGTGTCAGATGATATCTCACAGCTGCTCACCCCACCCTGAAGACAGGATCCTTCATTTCCTTGCTCTGAATCCCTGGCTGAGGACACACTCACCTGACTCAGCTGCAGGAGGCTGCCATCAAAGTCCACATGCATTTAAACCACCCACTGCTTTCCCCTCTGAATATTATTTATAAAAATGTATATAAATTGTTTTATATAAATTTTAATGAAAAGATTCCACACCCATGTGAAACATCATCACCAGAAATTCAAAGTGCTTACGAGTTCTATTGAAAGGAAGGGGGCTGTGAGTTGTGACAATGACACCACTGCCACAAACATGAATTTAACACAACCCCTCATGGCCTTTAAAAAAGCAGAAGCAGCCTCCAAACCCAGCATTTCTCCTTGTAAAACCTCCTGCATCTGCCCCTCTTGTTGGAGAGAAGGTTCTCCCTCCTTCCTGAGCAATAAATCCCCACCCTGAAGAGAGGATCCTCCATTTCCTTGCTCTGAATCCCTGGCTGAGGGCACACACCTGACTCAGCTGCAGGAGGCTGCCATCAATGTCCACATGCATTTAAACCACTCATTGCTTTCTCCTTTGATTATTTTTTGAAATTGAAGTTTTAATGAAAAGAATCCACACCCATGTGAAACATCATCACCAGACTTTCAAAGTGCTTACAAGTTTTATTGAAAGGAAGGGGGCTGTGAGTTGTGACAATGACACCACTGCCACAAACATGCATTTAACACAACCACTCATGGCCTTTAAAAAAGCAGAAGCAGCCTCCAAACCCAGCATTTCACCTTGTAAAACCTCCTGCATCTGCCCCTCTTGTTGGAGAGAAGGTTCTCCCTCCTTCCTGAGCAATAAATCTTCACACATATCTGAACCTTGATTAGATCTATTCTAACACTGCAGCACTGGTTTAAGTTCCAGAAGGTCCAGAAGAAATGGAAGTGAAGGTCTGCACAATTCCATTTCTAATACAGAAAGGAACTTAAGAAAAAAAAATCAAATTAACTGATAGGAATCAAGAAGAAACTGTATATTAGGTTTAGCAACTTGACACAAACTGAGGTGCCTGGCTGAGCTGGGGAGCAACAGCCCCTTCCAAATGAAAGTGAGAACACACTGAGCCCTCTCAGAACTCACCCAAAGCACCAGACTTCAGCTCACTGAAGTCCCTGACATCAAACAGGCTCTGACAGGCAAGAAGTGCTTCCTGAATTAACAGAATTCTATGAGTTGAGCTGGGAATTACGCCCAGACCCACTTGAAAAAGATGTCCTTCAATGATGCAGCACAATTTAACTCACAGGCCAGCAGCTGCATGATTTGCCTGGGCTGGAACAGCTCTAACATCAAAAAGTTCATTTCTGTGAATACATGAAAGGGGAAGGGAAACATCTCTACTCTGACCTGTGGAAGGCTTTGAACAGAAAGATCAGGACCTGTTCTGTGCTGATTAAGTTCTAATGAACTTAAAAATCAATCCAGGCAGATCTGTAACTCGGTGCTGAAGAAAACCACCCCTGACTCTGAGCCACATTCCAGTTATCACTGAGCTGCTCACCCCACCTGCCTTAGCTGGGTGAGATTTAGGACTTCAGGAACAACCCCAAACACCTCCTCACCTCCAGCACCCCACTGCAGGGCCAGAAAACTCCCTGCTTTAATGCAAATCTGCCTGGGACCTGAAAAATTCCTTGCTTTCCCAGGGACAGATGCTATGGTTGGATTCCCTAACAGTTCATGGACCTTGCTGCAGATTCATTTCCATGGGGGTTTGTGTGTGTGTGTGTGTGTCAGCTCTTTTGGAAAAGAGCCAAAATTTGACCACACTTCCATAGTTCCTAATGAAAGGCTTGTTTGTGCTCTGAGCACACTCAGAGCTAAGCTGTATTTTGCAATTTCTTAGTGGAATCTTTGGTAGTAAAGTTGTATTGTTACACTCTCCTGAATTTCTGATGTTTAGCAGACAAACATCACCTAAATTAGCTGTGCTTTTTCTTGTCTAGAAAAATTACTTGAATCTACCCAAATAATCTCTATCTTCTGACCTAAATCTTATGGGTCATGACCAGCTTGATCTCCTTGGTCATTCTTGAGTCTCTCCTGTGTTCCTCTATTACATTAAGAAGGGACAGGGAAGTTCTAGCAGGCTGAATGTGCATCTAATTTGGACACCAGTAAAAATGGTATTAAACTGAAGTCCTTGAATTGGGAAACCCTGGGAAATCCAGTGCTCTAGAATATTTGGGGAGTATGTTACAAGACAAGTTTGGGCATTATTTCACAAAAATAAAAAATTAAAATCATTAAATAATAAAATAAAATTTAAAATAGCAGCTTTGTGCTTAGGTTAAGTCCTTTCAGAGTAGTAGGCCTTGACTACTAACAATTTCCTTGTACCTTTTGTTTCTAGCAGTAATTTTTCATATGTTAGCTATCAGTTGGGTATCTGCAGCAGCTTTTGCCATGGTTTGGACTTGCTCTGGGACAGCTTTTGGTAACACCCAGGCCTGTGGAGTGTCAGACTGGGAGCTCAGCTGCTCCCTGCAGTGGGGTTATGCAGGCCCTGCACTGTGCCCCAGCACCCCCAGAGCTTTTATTTTATTGCCACTTGCCTGCAATGACAAATGGATCACTTCTCCAAGACGCTCATCTGAGGAGGTTTCTGCCTTTGCAAATCTTCCCAGGCTGTTGTTGATGCCATGGGAGGGAGGTTTGAGCTCCTGCTTTGGGGATGGCTCCACAAGGACCTTGGACAGTATCTTTGTCTCTATCAGCTTTTTTCTCTCCTCTTTAGTGTACAGCTCTTGCACAGGCACTGCTGTGATAGGCCAGGAGTTTGCTCTTTCCTTGGCCTGAGTCCTGCCCATTTCCTTCCCCTCAAGGTGATCTGTGGAATCTGAGGGAGACTCTTCAAGAACAGCTCTCTTTTGTCTTGGCATTTCTTCAGTCTGGCTGGCAGGTTCAGCAGCCTCATCTTTAATCATTTGTACATCTTCTTTTGCAATGATTTGGGCACCATCTGTTTTTTCCTGAAAGTCAAAACTTTCCAGGTCTTCGTTCCAGATCTCCCATGGAAGTCTTTCTGTCTCCTGGATTTGCTACAGGTAGAGAAAGAACAAACACAGGGAAAGTCAATCTCCTTGAGCTTTGGAAGTGGATAAAAAACCAAAACAGAGTGATTGGAAGGCAACAGCTCCAACTCAGACACCATATGGAAACAACCCACACCACATCCCTCATGGAAAACACTGAGACTGTTTACTTTCCAAAAACTTTAATTTCAGGAACTGCTAAACATCCTTTAAATTACTTTTTCTTACATGTGCTCATTATTCCAGCCCAAACCATATTGTGATTTCATGGATTCATCTTCACTGAAGGAACAATGTGATTATTTTATCCCAGAAAAGCTGTTCAGAGAGTAAACTTCATACTTTTCCTCTTTCTTGCATTGTCCTAATTCATTTTCTGGACACATAAAATGATTGCACAGGAAAGAAAAACAGTAAAGGGACAATAAAAACTATCAGGAAATGGGACAAAAAAGATCCAAAATCTCAAGAACAGAGAAAACTTTAACGGGCTACTGCAAAAAGAGAAAAAAAGTTTTATTTTCTAGTGAGAGAAAATACTGAGGACTAAGCTTTTCCTGTTCAGACATGAGCAACTGTCCACACTGGGGACAGCCAGAAGAGAGGGGTGACAGGACAGGCCACACACAACAGTCCCAACCTGCTCCTGGGAGTCTTCCAGGGCAAACATCATCAGTTCCTCTGACAGGTCTGGAATTAAGTTGGGCAGGTCCCTCTGGAAGATGAAAAGCTCCTCATCACTCTCACAATCAGACTGCAAACAGAAAAACAGAGAAATTCAACAGGAAACTGCAGTACTCACTGATATTGGAATATCTGGCTTGCAGTGACAGCTCCCATGTTGGCACCTCTTGACATGCAGAGACAAGAAGTTTCCTTGCAGTCACACCTTTGCTACACAGTCTGGTAGCCCAAGAGTCACCAACCCCACACCTCAGCAAGCTCCAAATGTAAAAAACATCTAAAACATCA